GGATTTTCCTTGTCATCATTCAATGGACCATTTGAGAACCATTCTTTTACTCTGAAGCCTCCCTTCTGGAGTACAGTGTCCATATCATGGGTGACATCTCTGGCTGTTTCAATTGTATAGACTGATGTGCAAATGTCATCCATATAGGTGTCCTTGTTCAATATATCTGCAGCCTCTGGATACTGGCATGCTCCTTCTGCTGCAGTCCTCTTCAATGCAGTTATTGGCATAGCTTGTGCAGGTTTGTCGCCAAATGTTACCACTACTTTTACCTAAACATCCGGTTCTCTGGATCCGTAGCTTCTCCACAGCCTTTGTTGAAATAGTTTCTTTAAACAAGTAGCAGCAAGCTAATATAGGATTGCAAGCCCATTAAAAGTGAGATTTTTAGCTCACCTTGACATCGTCAAGCTGAGCTATTGCCATGGGTCGTCGTCCGTCCGTCCGTCCGTCCGTCCGTCCGTTCGTCCGTCCGTCCGTCAACATTTCGCTTCGGTCAACGATAACTCAGGAACCGTTTGGCCCACATGTTTGAAATTGGGTATAATTGTCACTGCTATGCTCCCATATTAAACGTCCTATTTTGAAGCACGCCAGTCGACGTACTTTCGAGCCACGGCAATTTTTTGGCAAAATTCGGAATTGCCATTAGTCAGTTCAGGTTCAACGGATTTTGCTCATTTTTGGTATGTGAATGAATAAGGGTTAGGGGTTTTGATATTTAAAAAAAATTATGCAAATTAGGTAAGGTTTGGCAATTATATAGCATATTATATAGACACAAACAGTCTGTGTTGTCACACTCGTCTGGTTCGTTTTACAAGATTTCATTAACAATATCTTTAATGCAAAATTGGTATTTCCTCTCCACCCTGCCGATAAAGCGTCTATATTAGAGTAAAGATTTACAAAACATGTTGGAACGCAGCATAACCTGTTTATTTCAAACGCCATCGCTACAAAGCGGGTGTAGCGCCATCTACAGTCACAAATTGTGATTTATTTTGGTTTATAAATTATTATTGCAATATACAGATGGCAATCGTTTCTATAATGTACGTCGATGGTTGCTCAATTAAAACTGACTTCTTCTTACTCACTCATTTGTGTCCTTTTTTGTGGTGAGCTACAGTGTCATTGACACTTTCATTAGAAATTAAATGGCTACTACATCTCAATGGAATATTTGCTGCTAGGCTAATATCATATACCACTTGCTAACAAACACAGGCAGGCAAGCATACACACGCACATACATATACAGCACATCGGCTTAGTTTCTCACATGAGGGCTCGTGACTTTTACGATTGGACTCGAACTGACCTCGAATCCTACATCCCCGCCGTGAGAACTTGGGCCCAGCGTGGACGGATCGTAGTCGAGTTCGTTCTCCTGGTTCTCGTCCAGCACCATGTCTTGGAAGAACTTGCAGCATCACCACCCTGATCCTCCTCCATATAATTTGCATCGCCTGACACAGAAAAAGAAATGTCATTAAAAAATACAACGTGCAGCATGACAGTCACATTTGACTTTGCTTCCATAAAAATGACAACCATAATTCAAAGACTACTATCACACTAGCATTTCCTTTAATTAAAAAACATACAAGAGACTACTAAAAACAAAAAAGCAGAAATTGAAAAGTTGATATCACCCTGATGCAAGTCAAAATTTAAATCAACTGCTAAGTTTATTATTAAAATTATCTATGTACACAGGATTACACAGATTTCTTAGCAAACCAAACTTTAGTTCCCAAACTACGAACCAGGGTGAGCCACCACACGGTGCCACAAACAATGCTTATTCACACAAACTCTTCAACCAAGCTTACAGTCTAGTGGGCCTAACAGTACAACGATCAACATTCCTCAACCCATTTCAAACGTAGCCAGTCCCTGTCGGACCTTTATACACAGGACAATGTAAAGTGAAATATCGCTTATGTCGCCAATCTTAACGACGTGGAAGACTCATTTCACACATTCTATTATCCCTCGTTGCTGCTAAGTGAGTGCTTTACAAGAATAAATCTGCTGGCCTCTAATTTAAAACGGAGTTGTATGGTAGAAGTTTTTAAACTTATTTAAATAATGTAAACCCCGTGTCTACATTTCTCCCGTCCAATCGGACGATGACCCATCGTTACAGCAGACTCCCGACTGCTCCTTTTTAAAATTTCGAACTGGACGTTTCCTTAGAGGAGACATGGATTCGCCAAGACTAAAACAAAGCTGAAGAAGAAAGAAGGAATAATTTGTAACGTCAAGAACCGTTAAAAGCAAAAGATACAGAATTAATAGTCATTAAACGTTAAGAAGAAAAGAAGGAAAGAGAGATTAGTAATTACTTAAGTGAGTGCTTTACAAGAATAAATATGCTGGCCTTTAATTTAAAACGGAGTTGTATGGTGGAAGTTATTAACTTATTTAAATAATGTAAACCCCGTGCCTACAATATATTAAAGAAAAACATTGCACGAAATCCCATATTTCCATCCTATAGATTGCATAATCTTCAAAGATATATGTATCGGCATCTATTCAGTTAAACATACAATAATCAAATTACTACTGTGACCGGATGTAACTGACATTTTCTGCTAAAACCTATGTGGTGCACTGTCACAGAAAGGTCGGTCACACGGTTAGTTTAGCAGGTAATCAATCCTGTAATACAATCATTGGCATCATAAATACCAGCAACTAGACAAAAACAAGATTCTCTTAAATTATCTGAATCTTCTACACTACACTTCCTCCACATAACATTGACTACATCCAAATAAACTGGTTAAATTCCACACTAACTCCCAACTGCAACTTGCAGTATCACACGGTAAGCCTTGACCTTGAATGGCTTAGAATAGGCTATTTACACAAGCGGCTGTGGTCTATCGACAGCAGCATTACAAGTGCTGTAATTCACTAAACTTTTACGATTACACATTGAACGTTACATGTTAAACAGTAACATATTAAAAGCGTATACCAACGTGTAAATATTGAACAATTTATCATGAATCAAATCGATACAACTCGCCTAACATGTTAACACAATGGCACACGGGCTCAAATGGAACAAATCATTAGCTTCGAGCCCATTCTTGTTCCCCGGATTGTGCCTTAAACCAGCACCAGTGCCACCTCGCGGTGTGAGATCCTAGTTTCGCTCAAAACAGCTATGATGGCGTGTAACAGCAACAGCAGCGAATGCGATGATGACAATGATAAGGATCACAGCGAATGCGATACTGAAACCAGAAACTGGAATGCAGATATTCTCCTCCTGACTCATAGAAGAGGCTAACATAAAAAGTAAGCTGTAACATTACGATTTAAAAATATGCATTTTCGAGGTAAAGCGACAGCGAACGTGTGCTAAAAGATTAAATTTAAAAATTTAATAAATGAAATTTAACCCTATAATGCCCACACCTATGTGTTATTGCAGTAAAAATATAATCTCTTGGCATTAAGTTCCCTGTTATATCAGAATATGATTTTTGACACTCGTTTTTTTTTCAGTTGACCTTGCCAGGTTGCCGCAGGCTGGAGGCTGCAGTGTTTCCGAAAGTGTGGAACGTCCCAACCATAATTTTTCTACAGGGAATACTGGGTGCTGCGGACTGCAAGGACGTCGCTGCGATGCGCTGTGCGTCTGCCAGCGGGATCTCGCGATAGAGCGGTGCAGACGCCATGCTCATCCTCTCAGTGATGCCCATGGTGATGAGGCAGTCGCGCATATGCTGCCCATACTTTCTCTCAAACGTGTCTAATATGTTAAGACGAAAAATCAAAATTTGCTAAGTAGGTTTTAAATAATATTTCCAGACTTAAATGCATGGCATGATAATAACATTTCAGTGGTAGCATTACCATATTCACATCTTTTGTTTCAGATATACCTTCTGACATGCAAATAATTACCATATGTGACCCTCTGAGAAAACCCTCCCTAAGTCATTTTTTTAGATTCTCCATTTCAGGGATATTTTGATTCTATATCATGAGAGGAATATTCAGGCCAATGGGCATTGTATTATCTCAAAAATTGACCAAGTTATGGCTGTTTTAAGGGTCAGTGCTCTGTGGGCCTGAAAAAGTGCAATTTCGAGAAACATGGGTTTGAAAAACAGCATTATTTCAAACAAGCATAATCTGTGACACAGAATTATCTCTCACATGGTATTGATATCACATGAAAGCTCATGTCCTCAGCTTTCTAATGATATAAGACGCTTATACCACAAAATTAGTAATTTTTTTATATTAATCTTCCGTTTTATAGTTCACATGGTACCTCGGAGGTAAAATGTCACCTTTGCCTCGGGGTAAGGCAGGCCTACTGGGTATTAGGATGCATATGAAATCACTGCAGCAATATGAATTAGCATTATTTGTTTGTTTTAAAAGCATATATTTCCTAGACACAAATAATAGCATTGATATGAGTATTATCACAAATAAACATATGCAATATGAATTAGCATTATTTGTTTGTTTTAAAAGCATATATTTCCTAGACACAAATAATAGCATTGATATGAGTATTATCACAAATAAACATACATGATGCAATACTTAGATTGCGTGCATGAACCAACCCACAAGACAGCTTTTGGCATAGGTGATGCCAATGAACGTGATAAAAAAATCAGAATGAAGCGATTCTACAGATTCAAGCCACAAAATCACTTCCACAATTCACTAACTAGGGGAATCACTATAAAGAATTTTTTATTTCAAAAACAAACATTTTTAAATCACTTCTTGCCCTAATACAGAACACATCATTCTACTATCAGTCTTTTGGCAGCTATTCCCTGTGGTGACTTTTTTGGCCTTCCTCGTCCTCGTGCTGGAGGTGGAGTTTCTACTGGCGGTGGCGCAGGCGTTTGGAAGACTTGCACATCTTGGTTGTTGGTCTTGCACAACAGGACCATTAATATCAGGGTTAGGACACACAAGATCCCTGTGCTGCTCGGCCATAAAACTCCCGAATTTCTTTATGCAGGTAGGCGTTGCGCTGGCGGCTAAGTCCAACAGGAGCAATCACAGGTGGTTTGTGATGCACAACATCAGCAGGATCACATCGCAGGATGTTCTGAGTCTCAACTTCAGACTCCAAAAGAAGCTTGCTCTCCACCATGCCATCTGGCTTGCACTCAAAATGGTGTAGGGGCTTGATTGAGGACAGCTTTTTGAAAAACTCCGAAGAAAGTGTCCCATTGGTATGTAGGGACAATGCAGTGCCCATTTTCACGACCGCAGAGCTGTGGCAACAAGACACCAGCAAAAGAAGCCTGAATGGCCACTTCCAATATTGGCAAGACAGTCCACCTTTGTTGATCGGAACTTCCGTTTGAAAAGGCCAAACATTGAATCGGGAGCAAATTTAGTGTGCCCCGCAAACATGAATGACAGCTTGATTCCTTGGTGCCTCCCTGTTAGTACACGCCAGACTAAGTATTGAATCATGGTATTGTTTTTGTTTTGGCCTGAACAGTTGTCAGCGTACAGATGGACGTATGCTTCTTTAATACCGTAGTTATCAAAAAATAGTCAATTAGACTGATCACACAGTTTGCACCTTTCCCTACCACTGTAGCTCCATCCATTAGAAAAATGATCATTCTTGGGATGCCCTCTTGTCATTATTTCGAAAACGCCACACTATTGGAGTTTTGAAGAAGACTGGACCAGACTGTAGAGGGTCATGCGGATCTGCACCAAAGCATGTGTTTTCACGTTTAAAAGGATGTTGCTTCTGTCTAATTGTTAATTGCATTAAGGTCGTCTTGTCAAGCAATGTTTTTTTTACGAGTAACTTGGTATATATTGACCAAATTTGGCTTTATTTTTTTTTTAATTTATGATTGTATTTTTTTTTATTTGTTTTAGAATGTGTTCAAAGAAACCCCACACAACCGGCCACTATTGCGGACATTGAAGTCAATACGTTAAGAGTGGCTGAGTAATCGCTGCCAACCGCAGGACGGAGGAAGGAAGCGGTGGACTGTGTCCCGCAGCTGGACGGAAGAAGTAAGCTTAATTTTTCGCCAACTGTCGATAAGCATTTCTCATGCTCGAATTCATTTCAATTAGTATTTGTCTCAGTTCACCAATGCCATATTGCTACACATGGTACTGTCCTGTAACTGCACTGTACTGCTCAGCGACTGCTCTGAATATCTTCATCAGATATTCACTATATTTCCTCAAAGCACCCGTCTTCCAAGTGTATATAATTCCAAAATATTTTAATCCAGCTGATAATGTTTGGAATACGATGATATTAGTGTAAAAAAACCCTAAACAATACATTTCCTATGGGAGATATTGCACTGTTCGAAATCTTTGTTTCTCTTAACACCGCTTCACTGTCTGGGTCTTCTCTTTATTACATGTAAATGTAACGCACAAAAACCTTTTTTCAGGTTTCAATTACAGCTTAGATTTTGCCCGGCAGATCCGCATGACCCTCTACAGTCTGGTCCAGTCTTCTTCAATGACCGAGGGCATCCCAAGAATGATCATTTTTCTAATGGATGGAGCTACAGTGGTAGGGAAAGGTGCAAACGGGTGTAAACGTCACAAAATATGTTTATTTGTGATAATACTCATATCAATGCTATTATTTGTGTCTAGGAAATACATATGTCATACTTAAACAAACAAATAATGCGAATTCAATATTGCTGCAGTGATTTCATTATGCATCCTTATACCCGTAGGCCTGCCTTACGCCCGAGGCAAACGGTGATCAGTTTTACACTCCGAGGTACATGTGAACTATAAAACGGAAGATTAATATAAAAAAATTACTAAATTTTGTGGTATAAGCGTAATTTTATTTAGGGAACATGAGATTATGTGATATCAAATACGCATGTGAGAGATAATCTGTGTCACAGATTATGACTATGTTTGAAAATATAATAGATTTTAACCATGTTCTCGAAATTGCGCACTTTTATAGAGAGCACTGACCTAAAACAGCATAAACTTGGTCATATTTTTGAGATAATAACAATGCCATTGGCCTGAATATTCCCTCTCATGCATATAGGCATCCTGAAATGTTATTTGGGGTTTTTCTCAGAGGTCACATATGGTAATTATTTGCATGTCAGAAAGGTATATCCTGAAACAAAAGATGTGTCAATCATGGTAAATGCTAACATGAGAATGTATTAATCATGCCAATGCATTTACAGTCTGGAAATATTATTAAGAACCTACTTAGCATTTTGGAATTTTCGTCTTAAAGACATATACCCAACGTTGTAGAGAAGGAAGTATGGGCAGCATATGCGCGACTAGCCTGAATCACCGACTGGGCACACTGAGAGGATGAGCATGGCGTCTGCACGCTGCTCTATTCGCGAGATCCCGGCCGCGCGAGAGCGCGCGACAGAGAGCGTATGTGCAGAGGGAGGTCGTGCGAAGTGGCAGCACCCAGTATTCCTGTAGAAAAATTATGGTTGGGACGTTCCACACTTTCGGAAACACTGCAGCCTGCAGCCTGCGGCAACCTGGCTGGGCATTCTCCGTAGAAGAATTACGAAGGCGTTTTCCCTCCGCATCATAGGAATGTCGCTGCAGCCCGCGGCAACCTGGCTGAACATTCGCTGTAGGAGAATTTCGAAGGCATTTCGCTCTGCATCATAAAAATGTCCCTGCAGCCCGCGGCAACCTTCTTTATTTTTTTTATTTTTGCTATGCGACAGAACTTGCCTCACACACCTGCCAATGTTTCATGGCCTCATCATGAACCCACAAAATCTTGAACTTCGCATGTGAGATTTGGATGATATACTTCTTTCCTGAGCCATAAGGCAGCGCAACATTCTAGGACTAACACACAGCAAGAACAGACTTTTCACCAACTGGCAACATGGGTACTTGGGGCGTGGAAATAGAAAAGGAATTCCCTCCTGTTGTGTTTGGGCTATTAGAGAAGGCCCACTGAAAAGCAACTGGAGAAGCAAAGCTCCTAAGTGACAAGAAAAAAGGGGCTGGCTTCAGAAAATACACGTTGGCGATGTGCTCTCCTCACAGATGCCGACAATAAGACTAAGAGCAACGGCCTACCAAGAATCGGGAGGAACAGATAACTACAAGCGACGGTAGCGCCACCAAGGGGTCGGCCAACGCCGGTCGCCATAACTCGGGCGGCCGACACC